CTGTTACTTTTTATTGAGGTGGTCTGGATTTCTCCATCAGATCCTAAGTAAGCAGAGACTATGTCCTTAGCTGTATTTTTCCTTATTCTCCAACGAAGTCTGCTGGAGTGTGAGGGAAATTAGCATGAAAATGCAGAAGGAAGAATTTAGAATTGTTTTCATTAAACATGACCCTGCCTATGAACATTAAGGTAGGTAAGTTTTCCTATTAAAGAACAAGAAAGTGGTAGAATCCACTCAGAAAGGTTTAGTTGCCATGCATAGCAGAACTGGATGATTTTTTTCAGATTTTCTTCTAGGCTTTTTGAGATTAAATAACAGTGTTAAATACAAACAAACAATAAAAACAAAACAGCTAATAATGGCCACTCCTTTAGTCATATTTAATTGCTATGTCTAAGAACATTTGAAAGCCCATCCTTAAACAACTTGGCATTTAAAAATGTTTACATATAAGAAAGCCATATGGTATTACAGTTTAAGATTTAGAAAATTTTGATGAACATCACCTAGCAATGACATTATTTCAAAGAAAGCATATGTCTTCCATAAAGAAATATTGACCTAAACAAGCAAGACATCTTGGTTTACACGATAATATCACCTTGCTGTCAAAGCAAACTTTCTGTCAATTTTTGATAAAGTATTGTACCAACTTCTCTCTCCACGTGAACTCTTTTGTCTTTGTGAGATCTTATAATTACATTAAAAGAAGTGGTAGAAAGGTCCTAGATAGATAAGAACATTCCCTTTATTACTGTGTTCTGGAAAATAGAACAAAAATAGGTCAGTTCTTAAGGAAATGATGGCTGCATATATAAATAATGTAAACACTCCTATCACTGTCCTGGGGAGGACATTTATCACAGGAACAGTCATAGACACCCAGACCTGGCCTCCCACTTACAGCTCTCGAATTCTGAATTGTCAATTGGAAACTTGATTATTATCAGTTAAAAATAACCAGGGAACTCTGGCAATGATTTAACTTGTTTGACTTTCTTAAGCTAACAATTAACATTTTCGACTATTGTTGACAAAATATTTAACTTTCCCATGCCATTTGTGTAAATGACTTTTCTAATATTTCTTAGACGCTCTGGGGGACACACCTTTCCAAAGCTTCTCAGGTCCATGCAGAGGCCTGTAAACTGCATGCATTCAAAGACTCCAAAGACATTCACAGCATTGCACATTTTAACTAGGATTTCCTGGGCCCTTCAGGAACACTTAAGTACACCGATATCTCAGTCTTATCTTGACAGCACTAAATTTGAAATACCAATCCCTCTATTTACAATAAAAGCTATTTCATCATTTAAACCAGATAACTGACAGCTGAGTATACATTTAATCCCTGGAAAAACTGGTATTATCATTCAGTGCTTAGTAGTTTATTATTAGTAATACTAGTAATGATGCCTTGCATTTCTGCAGTGCTTAATTTTTTTTCCAAACCCTGTTCAGAAACACAAGTTCATTTGCTTCTCTCGACAAGCCGGGGCAGCACGACTGCTCTCCCTGTTTCACAGATGACTACTAAGTAACTTGTCCTAGGTCACCCGGCTGGTTAGCGATCAAGCAGGCACAAAACCAAGGATGCAGGCTCCTTATCTGATCTGCTTTCTTTGCTCCACACCACATTAAGAAAAGATAATCTCTGAAGCCAAAGATGACTTGGAACCACTTATCTGCTCATCCTAGCAACACAATCTATGAAACAGAAAAAGAGCTTGTCTCAGGCAAAAGGGAAAGATTAATAATGTACCACAGAAGCTCTAAACCTTACTGTTCCACGGACCAGCAATTATTCAGTTTCACAGTTCATTCAAAGATTCAAACATACTTCACCAGAAAATGATTTAGTGCCTAAAGCCTGCTCCAAGTGGTGAGAAACGCAGATCTGCTCCAAAGCCCTACAATCTGGGCCCTGTGAAAGGCCCTGTTTCTGCAGTCTCTGTAGCAGCAGGGCTTCCCTGAACTTGTACTTGAGCTAAATGAAGAAACTGGCTGAGTAAGGGCTGCAGAATTAGGCTCTCAGTGTGGACAGAATTAGGACTGGCTTGGAGGTTATTCTTGCATTGTTCTTGAAACTTAGGCTATTGAAAGGATTCAGACATTATATACTCCTTCCATTATAACACCCCCCAAAGTCAACACTATCCCACGGAACAGAAGTTGTCCTCTCATCCTCATCCAGCAAATATTACCCACCATATTCAAGGCATTGTACTAGAAGGTATGCAGGACATACAGCTTTCATCTGACGACACGACATATATTTGATTTTAGATAATCAGTATTCTCTCCCTTTCTCCAAAGGACATTTATGGCCACTTATGGCATACAAATTAACTATTGAAGTTATACATTCAACACACCCAGACCACATAAATCTAGTTATGGACACAGTAGTAATAAAATGAAGAAAAAATTCTGACATTCACTCTGAGCAAAGGCCCTTTTCAATTAATATTCTCTGAAAATAAGAGGAGCCCAAGTAAAGTGAGGTGGGCCAATGTAATGGGCTTGGTGAGTCACTCCCAAATGCCCAGGCCTCCCTTTGGAGACAATGTTATCAGGTTAGTACAGCAGTTGCATCACCATCTCTGAGTACTACGCTGAGTAACAAAGCACCACATTTAGAAGTTAAAATGGCGAGGGAATTTCCAACAACCAAACATAGGGTGGTGGATCAACCCTTGCCACATCATACATTTTCAATGAAAAGCAGCCATTAGAAATAAATTATCCCTTTTCCTCCTTACACTGTGTCTCCCGGCATCATCACTGTACCTGGAGTGGGAGCTCCTCTAAGGGAATGTTTTTGGAGATCCCTGGTGGTTAGAAGAGAGAAAACCGATTCCCTCTCTGAACAGGAGTGGTGCAGCAGCCACTTTTGGCTTCTGCATCAGTAAACCCTCCGCCAGGAAGGGCCAGACACTCTTCTACCACTTCCCTCCCAGCATGGATATTACCATTGTAAAGTTACAATAACTATTGAAGTTGGTTTCATTACCTACCCTGAAACACCCAAGAAAAAGAGGCAGCCTCATCTTACTTCCAAGTTGGACAAAAGCAAAAACCCAAAGAACAAGACCATAAGCAGACATGCCACCTTCCTTGCAGAGGTTGGGCTGCGAAGGCCACAGGAAAAGCCCACACTGCGGCTCTTAATGGCCCCTCCAGTCCTGGCACCCAGGGCAGAGATCAGCCTTCTCTGCTCAGGGTTGGGCTGGGTGCCTCGCTCTCAGTGTCATCCCCAGAAACACTTACCAGGAGACTGTGAGCCACACAAAGCCATATTATTGGGAGACTTGCAGACAGATTATAAATTTACTAGGGACAATCAAGGCATTTAGATCCTTTTGGCTGCAGATGCCGGTGACACACACATACATACAAACCTCATTCTTCTCTCCATTTGAGCGATTCTTTACCCCCCTCCTTTATCCCAGCGTCTCTTTTTCACAAAACTCCCTCTGCTCTCCTAGGGAATTCCAGGGAGAAGCGGGGATAGAGTAGGTGGTAGAGAAAGGAAATTAGGCCTTAAAGCTCCAATATAACCCCATAGGCTAATAGGCATTCAACGACCAAACAGTAAACACTGGGCAATTTAATTGTTGGTAGTTATTTTTCATCTGGAGCTGGCCTTCAAGGAGTGGCAATTTTGGGTCTCCCAAAAAATTTCTGTATGGCAGGGGAGAACACTATCCTAGCTCTCAGAGCTTCCTGGAAACTTCCTCACCACGGACCCAGGCCAGGTATAAGAGGGAGCCAGAAAGCAGCATCCTATGGGCCTGGTAGGAGGATGCCCTTTTCCAAGAGCTCATTTTCAGGCTCCTTTGGAAGAGGAGTTAGATCCAGAACTATCTTCTCTCCTTTGGGCTTTTCGAGTACTTTGGGGCTTTGTGTGGCCATTTCCTGTTGCTGACTTTCATTAGGGCTGGCTTGGGTAAACTGGAGATGTGCTGTAAGCAGACATAGAATTCAGGAGCCGCAACTCAGAAAGGGAAGCCTGCCGGGCTGAGGGCAGGGTTCCACCTTCTACCCCAGAGGCCACTGGCCCAGCAGCCTCAAGGGAATCCTGCATGGGCAGGCAGTCACCTGACCAGGACCGCCACCAAGAATCAATGATTCAGGGGACACTCCTCTGGGATGGGGTGTGTCTGTGCCTCTGAGGAAGAATGTCCAGCCAGAAACTTAATCAGAACTTTCAGGTTTGATATCCTGTCACCAGGAGTGGCTGAAGACAAGGTACTTCCTAGGACGTTATCTGTGTAAATAGCTGCTTTGTGCCTGCCCACTTTAATGAATGCTCTAAGTGAGCACTACTTGACTGGAGTGCTTCTGAAAGGAAGCTACGTGGGGCTGAGGGCTGAGGCAATCTATAGGAAATCAGGGAGTAGGCCTTCTAGAAACATTCCCTCACTAGTCTCTTGCTCATTTTTTCCAAAAATTTTGTTTTTGACTGAGGGGATACTCAGGGAACTTTCTCTGTGTTACAGATCACCATTTCTGTTCTTGTAAGCCAAGGAAAAGGGGCCACTTCAAAGAGGGGGAGGGGAAATGGGGCAAGAAGGAAAAGGCTTTGATAAAGGTCAGCTAGGCTGAAAAATGGCTTATGGGGTCTAATCAGAGCTGTTTAGCCAAAGAAGGAGGACCCACAGGATGGGGCCTTCCTCTGTGGCTCAGATCTTGCCAGCTTGTAGCCCCTTCTTTTATACACTGTGCACCCCAGAGAGCCTCTGGAAAACTCAGGCTTCTTGCCAGTTAAGGAATATCCTATAAGTAGAGGAAAGCCATGAACAGGCACCAATGGAACCAGATGAGTAAGAGTCCAAAACCACCCTAACAACACACCCAATGGCCTTCGAGGTAGTCAGGTGACGTCTTGGACTTATTCCCTGCCGTCCATTCTCCAATAGGCCAAGGCAACCTCGACCCTCACAAAAGGCCCCAGGACCACAGGCAGAACCATGAGAAAGCCAGGTGCTTACCGCAATCAGGGCTGAGTTCCTCTGGTCCCCTGGGGTTGAAGCTGGTGGCTGCTGCTCTCCGTTTATCCCACCACCGCCACCAGTACTGCTACTGTTCAGCAGGTGCTGCTGGTGGTGATGGTGATAGTCTGGTGGAGGCGGCGGGGCTGCTGCTGCTGCTGCTTGGGAGGCCCCAGAAGGGGCAGCAGGGGGCGGTGCAGGGGCTGCAGTGGCGGCAGCAGTGGCAGTGGCCTTGGTGTGTTTGCCAGCCTTCCTTGCCCCCTGGCCATGCTGGACAAGGCTCAGGAGCTGCAAGGTGCTCTCTCTTTCCCGGTCTGAGCTCTCGGCCCTACCACGTTCATAGCGTCCTTCACAGTTCAGGTGGTGTTGGCGGCAGACGGCGATCCGAGCCCGGAGGCGCTCCACGATAGCACTGTGCACTCTCGGGGTGACTGAGCCCCCTCCAAGGAGCCCCGCCCCAGAGGCCCCCCCTAGCCCTCCTGCGGGGGCCTGCGGGGGCGCTGTGTCCCCCATTTTAGTGGACACAATGATTGCTGCCTCTGGGATGGTGAGGTGGAAAGAGGCTACTGCTGGCTATTGCAGGCAAATCTGTTTTTGACAATGTGAGCTCAGTGTTCAGGGCCACATGAATAGAGGGCTTCAGAGGTTGGGGGAGCAGTGGAGAAGGTGTGGGGGAGGGGAGTTAGTAAAAAGAGGGTGGGGAGAAAGAATAGAAACCAATTGGAGAGGATAAGTTGGAAATGAACCCTAATCAACTTACTCTAATTGCATTTGACAGCTCTGGAGAAGTTGGGCAGAGTTGGTGGATTTTTTTCCCTCACCAAGCTGACAAGAGCCACTGGGTACTTTGTAAACACACGATCTGGGGGTTAGATCAAGAATTCAGGGGTTGTCCAGCAAGAGACAGAAACACACAGCAAAAAGAACTGAGAGAGGTATTAACAGAGAGCTGGACTCTCCTTCACCTAGTTGTTTCAGAAAATTCTTTATGGGGATGTTTCTGCAGAGAAACACAATTCTACCGTGGTCTGTGTAACCGGCAGCCTTTACTTTTCCTCAGGTTAAAAAAAAACACCACCACAAACAGTGCTGTTTTAGGTTTTTGAAGTCAATGTTCAAAATGTGCAAAAATCAAGGGAGACTGTCTTTTGGCTTTTAATTAGTCCTCCCTTTCCCTTTGCTCCGGTGTTTTCTCCTCTTTGGGGTACTGTAGGATGTTGTCTTCTCCCCAAAGAGGGAGACAGCTTTTCAATTGTTAACAATGTCAGTAATTGGACTTTCGGACCATGCTTTTTTTCTTCAACGAATCCAATCACCGGTAAAATCCTCTCCCCGTCTAAGGTTTCCCAGCCTTAAATGAAAGCAATCTCAAGTCGCTAGCCACTGAGAGAGATCCTTCAACACATTTTTTCTTTCCCGCTTACGTTCCTATTCCTCTCCCCCGGCTCTATTCTAATACAGTATCAAGAGAGACAAACTCTTCCTAGAGTAATTTACAAACGATGGTCAAACTTACAAACTTCCAGCAAATTGCACCGAGTCATGTCCAGCCACTTTTCTGTCCACTTTTGTACATTCCATCCCCGGCCAGTGGATCTGAGGGTCTGGACTCTCAATAAGCAATGTGGTTCTATCTCTTGTATTTGCTCCGCTTTATAGATGGAAAAAAAAAAAGTAGCTTGTATTTTCCTTTCTCTTTCTCGTCTGTTGTTAGCCGCTTTGCTGACACTGGCTCCCGCCCGGAGTCACGGCGATACACAGGCTTTCATTGTGCTCCGATAGGAGAGGGAGAGAAAGAGAGAGAGTGAGACAGAGAGGGAGAAAGAGAGAGCCAGCGAGCTGCAGGCGGGGGGCGGGGGGCGGGGGGAGGGCGGGAGCGCGCGTTCGAGGCTCCCTGGTGGAAGGCTGGTGCCACTGCGCGAGTGAGTAATCGCAGCCAGGCACCGGGGAAAGGGGAACGCAGAGGGCCTCCCAGTGGCTGAAGAGGTAAATCCCGAAGCCTTCGAGTCTCAACAGCCGTCGCTCGGCTAGCTCCGTCTCAGACCTGGTTGAGGGGGAAGGCTGGGGAAATTCCCCAACCTCTCTACACAACCACTTCACCAGCTCTAAATGTTTAAGAAATTCCGGGGGCCGGGAATATGTTTTCCCCTTCAGACCTACATTACGCCCCCCTCTGAGGATATCATTTTCATTTTTCAATATGTTGCAAATGACACCACTGAGCACCCTAGCGAGCGCCGGGTGAGCACCGAGGAAATGTTCATTAATAAAGAAGATGGTGAATGTGTGTTGGGGGCGGAGGAGAGTGTGGAGAGGAGGGGAAATCACACTGTTAGTTCCTAAAGGGCAGGCAGGTGTGGTGTCTACCCACCTGCTTGCTCTTTGTGTGTCTCCGAGTAAGTGAATCTGGGTGATCACAAGCAAATCAGTAGGGATAAATAAAATATTTTATGATAAAATTACCAATACCAGTTGTAGGAAAAGAGGTTTTTTTTTTTTAAATGCAGGATTGCCTATGACAAACCAAATACAAGATCTGAGGTCTCCAAAGCTATCTGGTGAGCATACACAATGAGGAAAAGCAGTATGCAGCAGCTGAATTTCAACAAGTTTAATAACACAAACCAAACAGATCTCTTACGCAGACCATTGTCCCCTCATCTTCAGATGATCTTACTTTGAAAATATCAAACCTTATAGTGAATTCTGCTTGTCATTATCAATTATGAAAAATTAACTAAGGTGAGCACAATATTGGAACAGTCAGGACCAAAAATATTCAGGGTGACCTAACTTGGAAGTCATTTGGATTTGAGGTCTCAAGCGTTGGACCTTCATTAATTTAAATGAACTTGGGCATTTCGGTAACATGGCCCTTGCTTCAAACTGAGCTAAGGAAAGAAATGTATGGGCAAAATCAATGCAAACATTTCAAGACTGGATTCATCTACAACTCAGATCCCTATAGGTTGGCTTACTTTAGTCCATTTTATTTTTCACAAATCCTGGAATGTTAGCTTAGAAATGGAGACAAGTACACTCTGATGGAATATAATTTTTAAACTTTTCATTGGAACATACTTCTGTCTGTCCCTTCCAAGGCTAAGTTAGTTCCTCATTACTCATGAGAAGAAAAGCAGAAATATATTTTTGTTATATAAATAAAATTTTAATGGTGAACTCTGTCATGAAGTATCATTAAAAAGTGAAAGAGTTTAAATAACTTTATATTTGATTTTTAAAAATTGTGTTTATTAGACAATTTCTTTTTCTGCTACTATGGGTGTTTTACATTTGGCAGTCATACCTGATAAAAGAGAAAAAAGTGTAATATTTAAATTTAAAATTTAATGTTCACTCCATAGCACTGCAGTACATAGATTTTGATTAATAACATGGAATCATTAGTCAAATCAGCTATTCCTAAATGATATAATAAACTTTGATTTCTCTGCTAGACATGGACATATTTAAAAACTTGTTAAGCAGGAATTTAATAAATTTTCATACTATATTCCAATGGTGTAGGACACTTCTTTGGAGTGTCTTTTGTACACATTTACCCATATAAAATCATTTTATTTCAAGTTGACATTATCATCAAAACCCTCATTTCCATTCACATTAGCTACTATTTAAAAAAATCACTGTTTTAGGCGCAGCATTTCACATATATGATCTCCTTAAATCTATGAACAATCCTGAGAGAGGTATTATTAACCCCATTTGTAAATGAGGAAACTGAGTCTCATCAAAATTAAACTATGTGTTCCGGTTTAAATAACCAGAAAGTAACAGACCAATATTCAAACTCAAGAATGACTTCAAACCTCTCTTAACCACTGATCTTGCTGCCTCAATATCAAATGTGAAAGGACTTATAGGGAAGCTAGACTATCCCCAAAGTAGCTCAAGGGCTGCAACTATCCCTCAGTCAATATGCAGGTGTTTAAGCAAGTCCTGTAACACCTCCAAGGAATGAGGACTAGATAGAACTACTCATCTGAATATGAGAGCAGACAAGTCAGGAAATACGGTCAATTGCAACCAACTGCCTTTAAAATAAGCATTTCTTTTGTGCCCTTGTTTTCCTTGTTTTATGGTTCTGTTCCCTCTCTCATAACCCTAAAACTTTTGTACAGCCCTATGAATTCTTTCAAACATTACTTCCCTTTTACTTGTCCATTTCTGTTCTCATCTCTTCTATCCACAGCTACCTAACACTAAAGTACTAAAGTAATAAATACCCAGATATAAAAATTTCAGTCATATGAGATGACATGAGAGATTTATAAGCTTAAAAACTATTTTTGTTATAATTGAATCAATGATATCGATAAGCTAATACATAATAATTGTAAAGATTAATTCTATTTTTGCAACATTATTTTCTTATAAACTATTAATATTTGATTTTGGTCCCCTAATCTATGCTAATTCTCATTTCCTAACAGCCTCTTTGCCATTCTTTTGGTGTTTCCATGTACCTTAAAAAGCCTCTTGTATTATCTAAATACTCAGTGAAGTAGCATGCTTGGCTGCAATCTCAGACATCAGAAAAATTACCTATAACCATCAATTCATGATCAATAGTCAGCTGTTGTAACAGGAAAAATGCTTCAAACCAACAAGATGGCTGACCTAGGAACTGGATCAGCTACCATCATAAGTCCCTGGAATTATTAGTGTCTTAATTTTACAAGTTAACTGCATGCTATTAAAAATAATAGATAAATCAATTTTTAAAACTTTCTGGTTGGAACTATTTCACTGTTCACCCATCTCAGGCTTGTCTGTAGTGTCCTGTATGAGAAGTGATACATCCAGGGTCATCAAAGATACCTTAGAAATCATTATCTTGCATTTCCTATGGCCTTGCTTATTATAAATCATTCATGATCCTTTACCCTTCCACTTTGACTGTTACTTCTCCTCTAACTCTGCTTGTTTTTGGACACTGTCCCTTCTATCCTCACCTTTCAACTATGGCTCTATTTTCATTCCCTGGAATTTAGTTAAGGATTATTTTGCCACATGCTGCAGAAATACAAATTAGAATATGGCTATGTGGCTGAAATTTTCTATTTTACACTTTAGAAAACGGTATACCCTCCTTATTAAACATCAGCATCAGCATTCTTACCACTTTTTGAGTTTTTACTATCCAGTTTGTTTACAATAATAATATGGATAATTTCAGGAAATGAATTGCAGAAAACTAATCTCCATGTAAAAACTTAATGTAGCTTTTTATGTATACACACGCACTGAGGTCTGTGCCATGAATCACGTAATAGATGAAGTCAAATTCAACCAACAATTCTAGTAAGAAAAAAGTATCTAAAATTCCACAGTAGAATGGATCCTACTAAAATACCACTTTTAAGGTATAAAAATATAAAATAGACAGGGGCCATTTGTTCACTCTGCAATTGTTTTACTTTATTATTTCATGGGAGAATTGAGGTGTGCAAAGCAACGCAGGTACCAAAATATGCTTTTAAAGTGTTTTTGGCTGAATTTATCCTTTTGAGATATTCTGACCCTAACATACATACTTATATGGGAAAAGTTATGGATAAAAATAAATAAAATACATCTTAATCATTAATATCTAGACACAATTGAATAGAAGAAGAAAGAATATAAGGCATAAAAATAAATATCATGAAATTATTCTTGAATGTGAGAGCTGAAAGACTCTAGAGGACTGAAATCTATTTGAAAGGGAAACTTTACAAAAGGAAAAATACACTCTGTACTTGGAATAAATAAGCTACGCTCTGATTGTGAGGCAAGGGGATTGGACTGAATGATACGTTGAGTCTTCTTCCATGGCCCACTGATTTAGACGACAGTATTCAAAAATAGCTTAGTAAAGATCATGTAATACTGCAAAAAAATAATAAACAGACCTGGAAAGGGATGTAGCAACAAATATACATAAATGTTAATCTAAATACATTTTTAAAATACGACATATTTCTATTAAACTGACAGGACACGAACAGCTCATTCACCTGGCAGTCATGTGTTATAAAGGCATTGTTATGTAACTTTAAAATACATTTACAGACTTAAAAATTATTAAGCCTATGTTTTCTATGTACATCAGATAAAAGCTTTATTAGACTGTAGAGTGCCATGTCATGGGAATTAAGATGAACATATGTTTTATACAAGATATTCTGCCATAAAGATGTACATAAAATTTATAAATTTGTCACATGATATAGAGAAACAAGATTCAGGATCTTCACATTTACAAGAATTTATAAAATCTTCTCTGAAGGAAATGTGTTACAATTCAGTCAAACTTCTCATCTTGAAAGTAATCCGCAAAATTGAGATATTCTTCAAGTTGACCGTATTTCTGCATGTATAATAAAAAAGCTAGTTATTTTACTCAAAGCAATGAAGATAAGCTAGGCCTTTTCAAACTATAGACACAAACAGGAACAAGTTTATTTCATGTAATCAGAACAAAAATCTTTTTATTATAAGTAGGAACTCAATTTCAAATAAGCATTTCTAACTCACAGAAAGCATTGGTAAGAGATCAAATTGAATATTATTACTAATTTCATAACTGTCTTGTAAGTTATATTTTTTCTATTATACTTAAAGTAGAAATATAATAACTTCAATAACTTAATTCAATAAAAATTTGTTTAACATATATGTAAAATACTCTGCTAATCACTGTCTAGGTACAAAATTTTAAAAAGATACTTTCCCTGACCCTAAAGAGAACAGAATTCAGTAGTGACATACCAATGGCAATCAGTAATACATGCCATAAAGAGGTATAGACACTATTCAGAGGGCTTGTAAGAGGGGTCATGGTTAATTGAGGTGACCAGAAAAGAGTGGCATTTAGGCTGTCCTGGGAAAAAAGATTTGGTAGGCAAAGAGTTGGTGGTGAGAGTTTTCTGTAAGAGACAATCGTCCATCCAACAATGACATGACAAGAAAGCATGGGATCTGACTACAATCTGAGGTTTTGTAGGGGAACAGAGAGAGGTAAGACTGAACCAAAGAGATTGAAGTCAGAGAATAAAAAGTATTAAAGGCTAGGTTAAGGAGTTTTACAATAATTTGACAGGCAATGGAAAGCTGCTAAAGGTTTTAGAGCAGGGGACTGACCTATTCTGAGATGTATTTTAAGAAAATTGGTAAAATAGCCATTCTAGAATGGTTTGGCAACTAGTGATGAGTCTATAGTAACAAATTAAGACACGAGGGCCCAAATTTGAGTGATAGCAATGAAGATAGAGAGTAAAGAACAGGGTAGAACAAGTTAAGAGAGGAGTCAAGATGATTTAGAGGTTTCAGAGTTGACAGAGTAGGAGCATAATGAATGGCAGGGCTGCTTCACAGGCGGTTCAGGGAGGGAAAGAGATATGTAAGTTCAAAGTGCTTACTTCAGTTGAGGAGATTAAATGATCTAATGGTTTCTTGACTCTGTTTATGAACTCTCTATCCTTAATGAGATGAGAAAGGATCCTAATGATCCTGACTTTTATGGTGATAGGGACAACAGAAGGGAATGTGAGGAATGCATTTTCCTTCTAGACAAGGCCCCGAAACCCTTTTACACCCCCAAGATATCTGACTGGATCACCTTCTCAGGAAAGAATGAGGAACATAACAGAAGGGGAAATAATCTATGGACTAATTAGGGATTTTCTTGGTCTAGTACTCAGATTTGATTAGATATAAATAAAGTATTCTAGGATTAGAAACTTATACTTTAAAAAAGTGGCTGTTTTTATGCTTTTTATGTTATTTTTCTTTATATCCTTTTTTCTCTTTTATTTATTAAATTTCTCTATTATTTATTAAATTTCTTTTTGGAAAATTAAAATCTATCTTAGCTGTACTAAGATAGAAGGAAAACCTCTCCTCACTTTCATTGCAAATTACAGCTAACCTTAATTGATCACTTACTAATTGTTAGGTCTTACACTAAATGCTTAAAATGTGTTACACATTTAATCTCCGCAATCAAAACTCTAATTATCATTACTGTTTTAGTTCCTACTTTACAAATTAGAAAACTTAGGCTTAGAGAAATAAAGTAACTTGCCCCCAAATTCTCCTGCTAGTAAGTGGCAGAAAAAAATAGTTAAATCCATACTTTTAACCATTATAGTATGCTGTTTCTGAGATTTAAAGGGTAGGACAGGGATGCAGCTGTGGTAAGAAAAAAGAAAAACCTCGAAAGGGAAAGTGAAACTTAGAAGTCAGTATTACTCTGCCATGCTCTCCACCTAAAGATGCTGGTCCCACAGTTCTTCTTTACTAAAAATTTGGGGAGTCTGGCTCTTATTTGAATAATGAAGATTTCTCTCTTGTAATGACAGATTGACCTACTGATGGAAACAGCTGGAACTGCAGGAATGGAGTGTGGGGAAAAGGTCAGAACATAAAAGGAGTTTGGAGTCTTCTACTCAGAAGTAGCAACTAGACCTGCAGAAAGGAATTGATTTGCCAAGGAAACTGTGAGAACTGAGGACAGACTCTAATGTTAACAGATACTTTTAATCAGTGGTCTTCAATCTTTAATTTACTTAGGAATCACCCAATTTTTACAATATTCTGTTATTTAATACCTCCAAGGATTGTTATTCAATAGGTTGGGGGTGAGGCCAGGGATTATACATTTTCCACAAACTTCTAGGTGATTCTGACACAGGTAGTTTAGGGCCATATTTTGAGAAACATCAGTTTAAGGGGTAGAAAAAAAAGGGAAAGAAAAAAGTTAAAAAGGAAGGAAAAGGAAGAGAAGAAATAAGAA